GCCAGGGCGCTGCCGCCAGCCCCCGTCTGTGGCGGACAGGGTTGTCCATGGCAAACAGGGGCTGCTGGACTCAGCCCAAGCCAGGACCAAGAAGTTCCCACTCGCACTGATCACTGTGGCTCTACATTTTAAAAGTAGTAAGAGGCCGGTGGCTCTTGCTACATTCAAAATGCAGAGCCACAATGCTGGTGGCTCTCAGAGCCAGCACAAGACAGGACAGCTGAGTCCCAGCTCTAGTTGGCTCCTGGAGCTACCCCCAATGCAGCTCTGCAGAAAGGTCCTATTGACTAATCAAGCAGTCGATACAAATTGTATCAACTATATGATTAGCCTGATAACCACATTTTAACATCCTTAGTGCTGTATTGATATATTCATGTATTCTGATATCACGGACATATACTTTCCTCAGTAAAATTCATGTTTTGTATATAAATGATCATGCATATTCACTAGTAAAACCAGCCATGGCTGTTATTAAAAGAAATGAAAAATAGCTTCCACCTGAACTGTGCAGCTCAGAAAAACAGAAAATAGTTACAATGATATTTGCAAGGAAGTGAGAATGTCAGAACTTCAGTTTCACAGTTACATCACAGAAGCTAAACATCTACAATTACTCCTCAGCCCACAAAAGAAAGCTGGGAAATTAAAATACAGGCAGTCCCCGGGTTACGTACAAGATAGGGACTGTAGGTTTGTTCTTAAGTTGAATCTGTATGTAAGTCGGAACTGGCGTCCAGATTCAGACACTGCTGAAACTGACCGCCAGTTCTGACTTACATACAGAATCAACTTAAGAACCCCAGGCGTCCCCAAGTCAGCTGCTGCTGAAACTGATCAGCAGCTGATTCCAGGAAGCCCGGGGCAGAGCAACTACAAGATAGGGACTGTAGGTTTGTTCTTAAGTTGAATCTGTATGTAAGTCGGAACTGGCGTCCAGATTCAGACACTGCTGAAACTGACCGCCAGTTCTGACTTACATACAGAATCAACTTAAGAACCCCAGGCGTCCCCAAGTCAGCTGCTGCTGAAACTGATCAGCAGCTGATTCCAGGAAGCCCGGGGCAGAGCAACTTTGCCTGGGGCTTCCTGTAGTCAGCGCTGGTCAGTTTCAGCAGAAGCTGACTTGGGGACGCCTGGGGCAGAGCAGCTGGGGTGCTGCTGGGTTGCTCCAGTAGCGCCGCTCCTGGGTGC